TCAATAAACGCTCCAAATGTGCCAAAGGAGATATAGTAAATGCTTTTTTAGTGGGCACAATCATAGATGGTGTTTTTGTTGGCAGATAGGCACATCATGCTGACGTACTCTGACTAGAGGTAATCTATACCTCCATCTATGAATACGCCGAATATTTGTATCAACATCTTTGGTACGAAAGTCGGAATGTGTAATAATTTTAGCGAGATCTTCATATGCACTAGTTGCTAAAACAGTAAATATAAACAGATGTTGCTTTACATTACATATTAATGCTTAAATTTAACTTGTTCTAACCAGTTTTTTTAGTTAATTATAAATAAAGTTCCAAATCCTAAATTCAAAAAGGAAATTTAAAATAATACAGTATATGTATAATCTACTTACATATTGTGTGCTTGGTACTCCATATATAAAGCATTGTCGATGTAAAATTCGAAAAGTATGGACCGTATTCTCCGTCAAACCCTCTAAATTCTGAAGATTCTTCTAAAATTTTATCTGTTGAGTTTTTCTCTACAACATCGACCAATGGCTTATGTGAGAGACTTGGAAATACTTGCTCTAGCTCCTTTGTAAAAGAAAAAATATGTTGGTACATATGTATTAACATATCGGCAGATTTTCGGAATTAGGTCTACATAGGTTTGTAAAATGAACCCGTATGTATATAAAAATAATTTAAGGAGTAATTAATAATAACAATACAATTAAAGTTTAATTTGTAAGCGCTATTATTGTTAATTACTCCTTAAATTATTTTTATATACATACAGATTCATTTTACAAACCTATGTAGACCCAATTCTGAAAATCTGCCAATATGATATAAATGAATATTTAAAATATTTGAACCTCATCTGTCAAAATTTCAATTTCTTCAGTTTCGCCATCAACTTCACCAGTCTCGTCAATTTCTTCGTCAGTTTCGTCAGTTTCTTCATCAGTTTCATCAGCCATGCCAACCTCTTCATCAATCTTGTTAATTTCTTCTTTATTAGTTTCTTCAATTTCATCAATTTCATTATCTGCTACTTCACATTCTTTTAAGAAACTATACTCTGAAATATCCATATCGGCAATATCTATCATGTTAACTCTCTGTAACTGGTCTTGAGATGATTCCTTTTTGTATCGCTTGGTAGTACGCAACTTCACTATATTGGTGTAGCGATAAGGATAAGCGGTTCTTTTTGATCATTTCATAGGCAATGTAAGTAAAAGTTTTACTCTTATTGAAATTTTATCAAATATGACAGTCAAAATTAAATTAGAATATAGAAAATATATATAGTATGTCACTAAAATTATTTTAGCATATTCTAATCTAGTTACGACATAAGCTGTAATTGTTTCGACATAATTTCGGCCACGTATATAATAAAAAGCAAGTGTAGCATATTAACAATGAGTAATCTAGTGTAATAATGTCAATATATATAACAATGACATTATATTTTCTGGCAACATATATTTACAAACATTTTACAAGAAAATTTTTTTCCCAAATTACTATGGCTCCTAGGAAAAAAAACACTCGTAAGTGTGTAAACAAAATAATGTATTTTAAAATTTCTTTTACAAGACATCTTACAAGATATAAACTTTTTTATAGAGCTTACAAAAAAGACCACATCGGTATCATCTGGACGAGTAAACCCTGTCAGAACAAGATCACGAAGCACTATTAGTATGTTATTTATAGAGGAACTTGCAAGTTTTATATTATTACAAGCAAGAATAGAAATCAGTGCGGATATATAAATAGTTATTTACCGATTTATAATGCCCTTTCTTGTATTAATGTACATATATAGATTCTGCTCCTAAAACAAAAAAGAAACAAAGTAGACAACAGTCAATTAATGAACAAGGTGATGAACAAGATGACCAATTGCAAAGAATATCTATCAATGAACAAGATGTTCAAGTAGTTAGAAGAACTTTAATTAATGATCAAAATGACCAAGTTCGTGGAACTTTAATTAATGATCAAAATGACGAAGTGCGAAGAACTCCAATTAATAATCAAAATGATCAAAATGACCAAATGCTGAGAACTTCGTTTAATGATCAAAATGACCAAGTGCGAAGAACTTCGATTAATAATCAAAATAACCAAGTGCGAAGAACTTCAAATGATCAAAGTGACCAAGTGCGAAGAACTTCAAATGATCAAAATGACCAAGTGCGAAGAACTTCGATTAATGATCAAAGTGACCAAGTGCGAAGAACTTCAAATGATCAAAGTGACCAAGTGCGAAGAACTTCAAATAATCAAAGTGACCAAGTGCGAAGAACTTCAAATAATCAAAACGACCAAGTATGAAGAACTTCAAATGATCAAAATGACCAAGTGCGAAGAACTTCGATTAATGATCAAAGTGATCAAAATGACCAAATGCGAAGAACTTCGATTAATGATCAAAATAACCAAATGCGAAGAACTTCGATTAATGATCAAAATGACCAGATGCGAAGAACTTCGATTAATGATCAAAATGACCAAGTGCGAAGAAATGTTCAAGATGGCCAAGTGCGAAGAATTTCAACTAATGATAAAAATGACAAAGTGCGAAGAACTGTGCAACCAATGAATGATCAAGAAGATAACCAAATGCAAATAATAGTGGAAATAGATGATGATGAGGCATCGGACATGAATTATGCAAATAATTTAGGTAATTTCCCAAATATAATTTAATATTTGATTATTTTAATTTATTTTACTTGCATTTAATTTATATTTGACATTTTATTTATATTTAATCGTAGAACCTCTAAATTATACCATCAATAATGGTATTATTTTTATATATTAAACTTGTACATAGGTCGAGTTTCGAATATATTATTAAATAAACTAACTTCTTCTAGTAAATGATTCTGGTTTCCTTGAAGAGTTATCGCCCTCAAATACTAGAGTTGAAGGTTTGGCATCAACAACAATTTCATATACAGCAATAGAAATGCCGATGATCACAACTAAACGTAAGCATTACTGGAGAAAAGATTATGTGTAACTTGTTATATTTCAAAAATTTATTATACACTTACTTATTTCTAATCATTGAATTCTAATAGATAATCAAAACAACTTAAAGAAACATAATTTATCTCAATATACTTCTTTGACGCTTCGCGATGCATCTAACGAATTAGAAATCGCTCTATGGGTGGCTCATCACCCCAAAGTCCTAAGTTTAGCCATTAGTATCCGTGAAGCAATGTCAAATGAAGTATCAGACAATGGTAATAACAATGAAATGTCCTCAAATATTACCTACTCATATAATTCTATACAAAATCCTCCAGAAATCAATCAGGTAAAACTTAGGATTATTAATAAACTACGGGCACATATTTCACGTGCTTATGTGCAGAACGATGACCAGCATTACTATAATACTCCTACCCTAACGTTAATTCTAACCCTAACCCCGGCCAATGTTATGCATTTAAGTCCCGTGAATATCGTGCCCGTTTCTTTCCCAATAAATACTGTATAAACTTATATAATACCTTAATGTTAGCACTATAGGTACCGGCTACAAGAGGAATGTAAGGCACTTTTCCTCAGGACCCGGAACAATACAAGTGCATTATATGAGGAATTAATAATGAAAGTATGCAATATTTCAAAGGGTGATCATCGTATGGCAGCATTGGTAAAGGATGTGGATGGCTGGTATAATTCGTATCGCTATAAATTGCATGTTGCTATTTTGCAACTTGCAGAAGAATTCTCTGAAACACATGAATGGTAGTTGCTTCAGAAATAATTATACATTTCACACGGACCTGAAAACTTTTAATAATATATTGATCAATTTTAGGGATGGGGAAGAACCGTCCATGATTGAAATTGAATTATTTGTTAGCGAAAATGTATGGCGACAAGTACTCCATTTTTATTTGAAAGCTACGGACTTGCCAACTTTGAATAAAGATACTGAAATACTTACGAAACTCAGTACTTTTGTACGTAAAACTGTTAATGATGTTCTTAAGGCCCAAAAGAAGGATGAAGATACACAACATTTGATCAAAAAGTATGATGAGTATACTCTTGATTTAAAAATACCAACAAAGCTTGGTATAGCAAAATTTTTGCCAGTTAGAGATCTTTTAGATTGTTAAGCTTTCTTTTTATAAAAGATAATATCAAATGTAAATGAGATGAAATTGTAATCCAAAAAGGAATATTGCAAAAGTTAGATGCTATTGTTTTAATTTGGTTAAACGTCTTCACTTTTTTTGTTTGAGTTAAACACGTCTCAGTTTTTAGCATTTTCTTTATTATTTTTCCCTATATTCAAACTTCTTATAAGTTTTTTTTTTTTTTCGTTTAAATGCCTATTTTGGCAGCTTGATTACAATAAGGATATTATATGGCTACTCACACTTATATCGTCAGTTTTTATATCAGATCGTAATTATCTGTCCGTATAGCAGATATTTCTAACATAGCATTAAGAATTTAATATAGGTATTTAATTCTTATATTTGCTACTTAATGTTATTCTATTCGCATTAATTTAGATTATAGTATTAAAAACGTAGAATCTCCAAATATCGCAAAAGAATTACATAATTTAGATAGGTAATTTCCGAGAAAAATGATATTATTCGAGTGAATTGATAAAAAACTATTTTTAAAAAAGAAAAATGAAAGGATCTTTACAGCGGCAGGAAATAATAGATAACGATTCGATTGAAGAGCTAATAATTGATAAGCTTAATAATGAACAAATATAGGATGAAATCGATAAGCAAAATAATCTATTCTTGAAATACATTAATACATTAATGATGAATTGGATGCACTTGATGATTTTCTTGAGCAACAATCCATACAATAACAAAATGATGAAGATGACAGTGTATTCAATGACTTCTAGTGTAATTCACTAGAGAGCAAAAGAATGGAAAACCGTTTTAATGCATATTTCGAATCATTGGACAACAATACACGGATTTTGAAGAAATTGCTATCACTAAATTAATAGTTGTTATTGCACTTATCTCTAAAAATAATAGCCTAAACCTGAAATTTCTGTTATTGTCAATGTACTAGCTAAATCATGGAGGAAATAATACCAGTTCATGTTAGTGATAGTACATTACTTGCACCTGAAAAAGTATGTGATAAGTATTTTTCAAATTTTTGAACCTATAAAGGCATGTATTTTATTGGGATCCGATCAACTCACCGACAAGTTCATTTCACTGAAGCTCTTTTTACAGACAAAGTAATTCCGGTCAATATCATTAGGGTTAGATTAGAATTAGAACTAAAGTTAGTGTAATTTTTTAAAAAAAAAACTTGTCAGTGAAATGAGCTTCGGTGATATAGACTGTCGGTAAAATTAACTTGTCGATGAATAATTTTCGGCAAAATGTCTATGAAGTGATTGTCGGTGAAATAATACGGACCAATTTTATTAGGGTAACACTGAAATGGACTCGAATGGGAAGAAACGAGCATGTGCTACAAAAAAAAGTTTAAAGAAAAAAAAAAAAGAAGCTAAAAGAACAAAAGAACAAGAGAAAAAGTTATTGAAAAGTATGTTGTTTTTTTTTTTTTGTTTATTTGGCATCGTTCAGTGGCGTCAAAATTGTTGCATCAAGTATTAATTGCTGGAATTTCCAATTTTCATGAGCAAGTTTGCCGGAATTATTATTCAATTTCATATTAGTATGGCATGGAAGCCGGATCATCGACAATCACTTCGTAGATACCACATTTCACCGGCAAGCTCATTTTACCGATAGTCTATTTCACCGAAGCTCATTTCACTGGCAAGTTTTTTTTTTTTTATAAATTACACTAACTTTAGTTCTAATTCTAACTTAACCCTAATGATATTGACAGAATTACTTTGTAAAAAGAGCTTCGGTGAAATGAACTCGTCGGTATGTAATTGTCAGTGAGCTGATCGGATCCCATGGAGAGCCAACCGGCCTGCTAGTTCAAGTATTTAAAATAAGATATTCAAGTATACGAACATTTACTATTTAATTTCATTTCATTTCAAGTCAAGATATCGATAATTCAATTATAAACACGATCAAACACCCAATCAATTCTTAATCACATGTAAGCATAAAGTTTCTTTTACAAGATTTGGATATATTACCAATTTTAAAATCTCTAACAGACCGGATGTAGCACATAGCTTTTAACAGTGAAATTAACTATAATTCTTCGTAGTGGATCTGCTATCGTAAGGAATCTTGTATGCGGTACTATTCCAATTTTCACACGTTCATCCTAATTTGCATTACCGTACAACATTTTTTGTTAGCTGAATTGCACTGATTTTAGCTGAGATAAGCTAATAATTACTCATTAAACAACTCATACGATATTAGGATCACAAAGAAAAAAGGTTCTCAATTTAAGACAAAGTTTACAGCATTTGACTACTATTAAACTTTTTCGTAAGAATCCTTTAGATATGAGAGACAATCGCCAGAATACAACAGTTCAATTTACTGCGCATTTCTTTGGTGTCGAATTTTAAATTATCGCCAGACCGATGTTCAATTCTGGTTGGTTTTTTTTTCTACTTTATTTCGACATATTCCGAATCTAATTAATAGAAAGCATTGGGATTTATTACAGATCGCTATTTATCAAAGACCACTTAACACTATAATTATTATAATTATAGCTATAAATATTGTTTTGATTATTATTATCATTTTTAGAATTATAAATATTACGTAATGTTTTCATATTATAATTCATTTTCGCCACATTAGATGTCCCAAGCATTCCCCGTATCAGTAAATTTTTTGATAATAAATGAATATCTTCTATTCATCTTTTTCACTCTAGTATCATTCTCCAACATTATATGTCCCAAGAATATTCCCGTCTCGGCAGATTTTTAATTATAAATGAATATCTTCTGATCATCCTTTACGACTCTAGTTCTATTAAAGTAATTTCCTCCTACATTATATGTCCCAAAACATTCCCATCTCAGCAGATTTGGATAATAAATGAATGTTTTCTGTTCATATTTTCTGTTCATATTTTTCAACTTTGATTCCTTTCCATAACAATATCCAACCTGAATGCTCCATAATACCAGCAGATTTTTGAACACCAATTCCTTCATTATAACATCAAATGGGGTTGAGTCAATAGAAACCAAGCAAATATTTTTTATAAGTTTTTTAAAAACTTTAAACAAGGAAAAACTTAATCAAATTTAATAAAAATTAATTCTACAAGTTTGTAAAAATTATTTAAAAAATTTGATCAAGGTTTTGTTAAGTTATAAAAAAGTTTTATTATAAAAAATTTGCTTGATTACTATTAACTCACCCCAAATATTAAATGTCCCTTGAATGCCTCAAATCAATAGATTTTTGTTAATAGATAAAAGCTTTATGTTCATTTTCCTCAACTCCAATTCGATTTGATGATAATATTCAACAGCAAGGATGAAGATTTGGCTTGTGCGACCCGTATTACGGCTATTATCATAATTCCTGGGACACCTTGCCGAATGATTTTTTGGCCGATCCGGTTAAGTTATAGAATTTTTGGGAATAATAAAATTCAGTAACAGATATATCAGATACGTAATTTAATGAGATAAGGTGACTAAATATACATTACAATAAGACTAAATATCGATATGCACACTTTGTAAGTCATAAATTTTAATTCCTATTCTTTGGCACGATCCATTTTCGCTCAGAACAAACCTTTATTAATTTCTAATTATTTTTCGCCAAAAATTCGGATTTAAAAATTGTGTAAAATCTCAATTCCTATTCCATTTTGGTTCAAATGAAGCATTTATTAATTTCTACCTATTTTTTGTTTCTTGTCGAAGACAAAAAATGAATTAAATTTCGATTTCTGTTCTTTGGCAAGATCCATTTTCGTTCAAATGAAGGCATTTATTTATTTCTACTTATTTTTCATTTCTTGTCGAAGCTGAAAAATTTATTTTTAAAAAGGTTGGGATATCTCTGGAAAAAATATTTACAAAGCATCTTCGTTGGCAAATAGTTGAGAAAAACTTAGACGGTTTATCAGTTAGAAAAATTGCCAAACACTTAGGAGTTAGCAAGTCTTCTATAAGTCGGGTTCTCACGCACTTTCGAAGATATGGATGCATTAAAAATCTCCA